GTAATCTTTGAGGCAAGATCCTTGGAGAAATTGAGTGTGATCGGAGATTTGGATCCATATGAAATGAGGCGAGACCAGTGGATTTAGCCAGAAATGGCTTACTTCCACTTAACAGTTTTACAATTAAAAAAGGTCATGATGTATATGATGCAATATTTCTTTCAATCAATAATTTATTTTGAACGAAGCAGTTGATATCACAGGCCCTAAATCACTTCTGTCTACCACCCATTCCCCCTTCTCCCCCTCTCATTAATTTAGAGGAGATCGCTTGAGGCCCATATACAGTGCCTTTTGTGTGTTTTGTTGCCTCACAACCTGGAATTAACATGGATTGTTTGAGGATTTGCATCAGTTAATTTACAGCTAAAATGCCCACAACTTTGAAGATGTTGTCTTTTTTTTTTATTGTGAAGCAAACAACAAATAGGACAAAATAACAGAAAAGGTCAATGTGCATAACTATTCACCCCCCTAAAGTCAATACTTTGTAGAGCCACCTTTAGCGGCAATCACAGCCCCAAGTCGCTTTGGATAAGTCTCTATGAGCTTGCCACATCTTACCACTGGGATGTTTTACCCATTCCTCCTTGTTAAACTGCTCCAGCTCCTTCAAGTTGGATGGTTTGTGCTTGTAAATAGCAATCTTTAAGTCTGACCACAGATTTTACTATTGGATTGAGGTCTGTGCTTTGACTAGGCCATGCCAACACATTTACATGTTTCCCCTTAAAGAAGCTATACCCGAAGTTGATAAAAATGCTTATTACTACATACAAGTTGTATTATAATCCGTAATTTAATTGAAAACTTGAGGTAATTGATTCAGCTGTGTAAGAATTACAAGCAGTGAAAAGTGCTGAGTAGAGTCTGAGCGGGCCGCTCGTTCTCCTCCGCTCAGAGAACGAGCAGCGAACAGCACTGCTAAAAACTAGGGCTTCGGCTTCGAAATTCAAATATAATTCTAAAATTTAAAACAATATATATATATATATTCAAACACATACTAGACAGCCCTTACCATTCGAAATAAATTCAATAACTGAAAATAAAATAGTTGGCTCCCAAAAGTTTCACCGGGACGTGCTAGGCATGTAACAGCTAACAGGCTCCCTGGAACGTCATGTTAATGGTTACTTCTGGGTTTTTCGCGATCGCTTTTTGTCACATTAAAATAGTAATTTGGTCATGAAAACGATAACATTAAATTCTGAAAAAGTCTGTGCATGTGTGTTACGGATGCATATGTATACTGTATTGTCCGATTAACATTTAACGGTGTTGATTGATAGATATGTAGTTGTTTATTGAGCGTGGCTAGCTCGGCTAGCTTCTCTCGTTGTACTTGCGGAGTAATGGCAGTATTTTACACACCTGAATTACAAACAGAGATTGCATTGTCAAAGGGCAGCGGTCATTATTGATTTGCGAGTTCTGTTATCAAGAAAAATGATCGGTAGAATTACATTCAAGTCAATGGAGTGTTCTACTGCTGCCGTGAGGAGCTGTATAATAAATTATAATTACATTTTCAAATATATTCTAATGTTTTAATACATTTGGAAGCGAAACTAGCGGTATTCTTTTACCTATATATTGTGTTAGCAGTGCGTTGCTTTAGTACCATTTCATCAGTGATTGTTGTACAGCTTACAAGAAGTTGTGCTAATGCTAATGTTAGCATACATGTCAGATCGCAAATTGAGCTAGATGGCTCTGTGTTATGAGAGCGTAGGGGAAATGAGAAGCCATTGAGCGAGTTGGGGGGCGGTGCTAAACATTCAAACCTTGCAGAAACAGGTATATAGCGTCTTTAAACCACTGAAGTGTTGCTTTAGCAGTGTGTTTGGGATCATTGTCCTACTGGAAGATGAACCTCCGTCCTAGCCTCAAATCATGCACAGAGTGGTACAGGTTTTGCTCAAGAATATCCCTGTATTTACCACCATCCATCTTTCTCTCAACTCTGACCAGTTTCCCAGTCCCGGCTGCTGAAAAACATCCCCACAGCATGATGCTGCCATGACCATGTTTCACTATGGGGATGGTGTTGTGGGTGATGTGATGTGTTGGGTTTGCGCCAGACATAGCGTTTTCCTTGATGGCCGAAAAGTTCAGTTTTAGTATCATCAGACCAGAGCACCTTCCTCATACATTTTGGGAGTCTCCCACATGCCTTTTCGAAAACTCTACTTTTTTGCTGAAAGTAATGGCTTTCTTCTGCCCACTCTGCCATGAAGCCCAACTCTGTGAAGCATACGGCTTATTGTCGTCCTATATACAGATACTCCAGTCTCTGCTGTGGAACTCTGCAGCTCCTCCAGGGTAACCTTAGGTCTCTGTGCCTCTCTGATTAATGCCCTCCTTGCCCGGTCCGTGAGTTTTGGTGGGCGGCCGTCTCTTGTTAGGTTTGCTGTTGTGCCATGTTCTTTCCATTTGGTTATGACAGATTTGATGGTGCTTCCGGGGATCAACAAAGATTTGGATATTTTTAAAATAACCTAACCCTGACTTGCACTTCTCAACAACACTGTCCCTTACTTGTTTGGAGAGTTCCTTGGTCTTCATGGCAATGTTTGGTTAGTGGTGCCTCTTGCTTAGGTGTTGCAGCCTTTGAGGCCTTTCAAAAAAGGTGTGTATATGTACTGACAGATCATGTGACACTTAGATTGCACACAAGTGGACATCATTTCACCAATTATGTGACTTCTGAAGGTAATTGGTTGCACCAGCGCTTTTTATGGGCTTCATAACAAAGGGGTGAATGCATATGCACATGCCAATTTCCAATTTCTGAAAAATAGTTTTATGTATATAAGTTTGTGTAAGCTCTCAGTCGTACAGGGATTAGTCAAAGCAAAGGAAGGTTTCTCACCCATCATCTGTACTTCTTAGCAAGTTTTCCCGACGTTTCGTCCTCAAACTAGCGGACTTCTTCAGGGAATGAATTCTCGGACCGCGCGTATGTATATATTTTTCTCAATTCACTTCACCAACTTAGACTATTGTTTTCTGATCCATCACATGAAATTCAGATTAAAAAAACATTGAACTAAAGGCTGTAATGTAACAAAATGATAATGGTATTGTTTGGGTTTTCATTAAAATTAATGTGTATATAATCTAGAGATTATATAGTCTAGACAACTTTTGGGTTGACCTACATTGGAATGCCGAAATCTACCATTCAGGTGTTTAAACAAAGTTAAAAATTATCCACAGTTGGGGTGTTTTGTGAGAACTATGTGGCAAGAAGTTGTCCAAGAAGTGGTTAATGTGTAACTTCACCTAGTTTTGGGCTTTTCCATGTGTGAAGGTGTGTTATCTGCTTTGAAATAAATAAGCTGCCTGTAGAGCAAACGAATAGGTCTTGGTTTTGGGCTGCAGAGGACGCAGATGCCTCCTCGCTGCCATGAAACCATCTCCTCCTTGTTGCATGCAAGTATAAAACTATTACCCTGTTTGTTGTGTGGTTTTGTCCAGGTTCTGTAGTTTAGAACTAGCTTTAACAATTTTTGGTCTTTCTTGCCCCGGATGTCAATACACTTCCTCCAGAAGCTGAGTGGGCTCAAACCTGGAGTTCTGGAGCAACGTGACTTTGGGTGAGAACTACAGAGTCTCCAGTTTTGAGGTTCGATCAGTGCCCGGATTGAAGTTGACGGCAGAACTACAGTTTCTGGATAGCCACATCGGACAAGGTAAAACTAAAATTAAATCGTCTTTGAAGGCAGGTAATCCAATGTATCTCCTCAAAAAGCATTGCAGCAGTGAGATGTCACGCACCTCCAAAAAGTGGAGAATTTAAAAGGGTGAAAGTCCCCGATTGGTTAGTTCATCTGTACCAACAAAGCGACAGATTGATGAGACTTCTATCCTCTGGGTGAATAAACATCCTCAGAGAGAAAACAAATTTTGAACTATGGACTTATGTGAGTGGTGTTTGTTTTTGTTTGTTACTTCATGTCTTTTATGTATGTGAGTGTCTTCTGTGTCTTGGACTTAACTGACTAAACTAACAGACTCTAAGATGAATAGAGAGGAAAAAAAAAGGGAGATAGCAAAGACAGAAGCAATGATTTATACTTAAAATGTCACAAGAGAGGACACTGGAAGAGAGATTGTACAGAAAGTGTTGAGTATGTTAGGAGAAAGACTAAGGAAGTAGCAATGGATAATGGTAATGTTAACAGCAGGTTAGAAATGATTTTTGATATGCAGGAACAAACGTTGAAACAGCAAAAGAAGTTCCTGAGTGCATGTATTAAGATTAACAACACAGGAATCGCCAACTAATGTTTTCTTCTGTTTCTGAGTCCATCACAGCCAGTCGAAGAGAGACACTTGGGGGCAGATGGTCTGGTCATTCCCAGCCACAGCTCCATATCCAAGCCCCACAGCCAGTGCCTCACCTCACTCCAACCAGAAGACGCAGAGTCCATCCAGATGTGAAGGAGGGAGCGAAGCAATGGCAAAAAGAAGCATCGGCAGTGGAGGTGCTGTGGATGGGTACGGGGAGCCGAGCCCCTGGATGGTCATCTCTGACTGATGCTGACACAAGAGCATTCAGATAAGTAGAAAACACTCTGAAAATAAGCAGTTTAATTTTAATATTCAGATAATAATCATGTTTAGTTTAATCTGAAGGGTTTATATATAACAGTAAGGGAAGTTTCTGTAGCATGTTTAATGGTTTCGTCAAAGAAATGCAAATTTGTTTGAATCTGAATGTAACTAGTCATACATTAATTCAATAATTAATTGTGATGTGTTCATTACTGATACAAGAAAATATACAGAAATAGGACTGTTTACATGAACTGCCTTCATTAACTGTTAAGAAAACAACTTTTTCTTTTGGGGTTAGCTAAGCTAAGTTTGAAATGTATTAACAAATGTGTGTTTGTTTGTTTTGTTTGAGGGGGAAACACCTCAAACACCACTTTGATGCTCAAAAGCTCAAAGTTTTGGGACGAGAGGAAGTGTCAACTAGAAATGGTACAATGGCTGAAGCCATTGTGAGTGGCTGCATAGATGTTGGAAGGGTTAGGGATGAAGAAGGAAGAGGAAGGGGAAGAAGAAAGAAAAGGGAAGAAGAGGAAAGAAGAAGAAGGAAGAGGAGGAGGAAGAAGAAGAAGGGGAAGAAGAGGAAAAAGGGGAAGAAGAGGAAGAAGGGGAAGAAGAGGAAGAAGAGGAAGAAGGGGAAGAAGAGGAAGAAGAGGAAGAAGGGGAAGAAGAGGAAGAAGTGAAGAAGATGAAGTAAGAAGAATGTGTTGTAAGGGGCTGAAAGTGTTGTAAAGTGCTGAATGTGTTGTAAAGTGCTGAATGTGTTGTAAAGTGCTGAATGTGTTGTAAAGTGCTTAATTTGTTGTAAAGTGCTAAATGTGTTGTAAAGTGCTAAATGTGTTGTAAGGTGTTGAATTTGTTGTAAAGTGCTAAATGTGTTGTAAGGTGTTGAATTTGTTGTAAGGTGCTGAATTTGTTGTAAGGTGTTGAATTTGTTGTAAAGTGCTAAATGTGTTGTAAGGTGTTGAATTTGTTGTAAAGTGCTAAATGTGTTGTAAGGTGTTGAATTTGTTGTAAGGTGCTGAATGTGTTGTAAAGTGCTAAATGTGTTGTAAGGTGTTGAATTTGTTGTAAAGTGCTAAATGTGTTGTAAGGTGCTGTAAGTGTTGTAAGATGTTGTAATGTATTGTTTCTGTGGTAATGAATTGTTAGTGTGGTAATGTGTAGTAAGGGGAGTAATCTGTTGTACTGGTCCAATATAAGTCAATGGGAAAAAGTGCTTGAACTTTTGTTAATATCTGAAAAAGTGCTAAAGGTGGAAGTGTGAAAAGTCTCACTTCCGCCTCCGTCGAGCAAAGACGTGCTCCATCTTGCTCCCTCCCTCCCCTCCACTCCTCACTGTGTTTCCGACTCACCCCCCTCCCTGACCCCGCCCCCCTCTGACAGCCACATTGGGCCGGCTGTAGGAGGTGCTTCATCCCGAGAAAAAATCCGTGCTTTATACAAGGCACAATGTGTCTATCCAACTGTCTGTGAAACTGTATGTTATTGCTCTCTGCTGTTTATTCTACTGTTTGTCGCATGGCGCCGTAAAGATGGCGCCGTGGCAAGAGCTCTGGTGTGTGTCGTCTCCTCTGTCTGGTGCACACCGGGGTAGTCTTGCACAGTTTTTCCAATGTGGTTTTACTGCAAATGGCAAATAAATGAATCTGAATCTGAATCTAATAGCAATAATGAGACGGTGAAGCCGGTCGTAACGATGTATAATTTGTTGAATTTGGTGAAAGCGTTGAAGAGTTGAAAAGTGACAAAATCTGGCGGAAGTGGAAGAAGAAGAAGAAGAAGAAGAAGAAGAAGAACTAGAAATGGTACAATGGCTGAAGCCATTGTGAGTGGCTGCATAGATGTTGGAAGGGTTAGGGATGAAGAAGGAAGAAAGAAAAGGGAAGAAAGGAAAGACGAAGAAGGAAGAGGAGAGGAAGAAGAAGAAGGGGAAGAGAGAGGAGAAGAGAAGAAGGGGAAGAAGGAAAAGGGGAAGAAGAGGAAGAAGAGGAAGAAGAGGAAGAAGAGGAAGAAGGGGAAGAAGAGGAAGAAGGGGAAGAAGAGGAAGAAGAGGAAGAAGAGGAAAAAGGGGAAGAAGAGGAAGAAGAGGAAGAAGGGGAAGAAGAGGAAGAAGGGGAAGAAGAGGAAGAAGGGGAAGAAGAGGAAGAACAGGAAGAAGAGGAAGAAGGGGAAGAAGAGGAAGAAGAGGAAGAAGGGGAAGAAGAGGAAGAAGGGGAAGAACAGGAAGAAGGGGAAGAAGGGGAAGAAGAGGAAGAAGGGGAAGAAGGGAAGAAGAGGAAGAAGGGGAAGAAGAGGAAGAAGTAAGAAGAATGTGTTGTAAGGGACTGAAAGTGTTGTAAAGTGCTAAATGTGTTGTAAAGTGCTGAATGTGTTGTAAAGTGCTGAATGTGTTGTAAAGTGCTAAATGTGTTGTAAAGTGCTGAATGTGTCGTAAAGTGCTAAATGTGTTGTAAGGTATTGAATTTGTTTTAAGGTGTTGAATGTGTTGTAAAATGCTAAATGTGTTGAATTTGTTGTAAAGTGCTAAATGTGTTGTAAGGTGTTGAATGTGTTGTAAAGTGCTAAATGTGTTGTACAGTGTTGAATTTGTTGTAAGGTGCTGAATGTGTTGTAAGGTGTTGAATTTGTTGTAAAGTGCTAAATGTGTTGTAAGGTGTTGAATTTGTTGTAAAGTGCTAAATGTGTTCTAAGGTGTTGAATTTGTTGTAAAGTGCTAAATGTGTTGTAAGGTGTTGAATGTGTTGTAAAGTGCTAAATTTGTTGTAAGGTGTTGAATGTGTTGTAAGGTGCTGAATGTGTTGTAAGGTGTTGAATTTGTTGTAAAGTGCTAAATGTGTTGAATTTGTTGTAAAGTGATAAATGTGTTGTAAGGTGTTGAATTAGTTTTAAAGTGCTAAATGTGTTGTAAGGTGCTGTAAGTGTTGTAAGATGTTGTAATGTATTGTATCTGTGGTAATGAATTGTTAGTGTGGTAATGTGTTGTATGGGGAGTAATCTGTTGTACTGGTCCAATGTAAGTCTATGGGAAAAAGTGCTTGAACTTTTGTTAATATCTGAAAAAGTGCTAAAGGTGGAAGTGTGAAAAGTAATAGCAATAATGAGACGGTGAAGCCGGTCGTAACGATGTATAATTTGTTGAATTTGGTGAAAGCGTTGAAGAGCTGAAAAGTGCCAAAATCTGGCGGAAGTGGAAGAAGAAGAAGAAGAAGAAGAAGAATAAACAGTAGGAGAGCATATAGTGGCTGCATAGTCTATGCAGCCACTCAACTAGAAATGGTACAATGGCTGAAGCCATTGTGAGTGGCTGCATAGATGTTGGAAGGGTTAGGGATGAAGAAGGAAGAGGAAGGGGAAGAAGAAGGAAGAAGAAAGAAAAGGGAAGAAGAGGAAAGAAGAAGGAAGAGGAGGAGGAAGAAGGGGAAGAAGGGGAAGAAGAGGAAGAAGAGGAAGAAGGGGAAGAAGAGGAAGGAGAGGAAGAAGAGGAAGAAGAGGAAGAAGAGAAAGAAGAGAAAGAAGAGAAAGAAGGGGAAGAAGAGGAAGAAGGGGAAGAAGAAGGAAGAAGAAAGAAAAGGGAAGAAGAGGAAAGAAGAAGGAAGAGGAGGAGGAAGAAGGGGAAGAAGGGGAAGAAGGGGAAGAAGAGGAAGAAGAGGAAGAAGAGAAAGAAGAGAAAGAAGAGAAAGAAGGGGAAGAAGGGGAAGAAGAGGAAGAAGGGGAAGAAGGGGAAGAAGAGGAAGAAGGGGAAGAAGGGGAAGAAGTGAAGAAGATGAAGTAAGAAGAATGTGTTGTAAGGGGCTGAAAGTGTTGTAAAGTGCTGAATGTGTTGTAAAGTGCTAAATGTGTTGTAAGGTATTGAATGTTTTGTAAAGTGCTAAATGTTTTGTAAAGTGCTAAATGTGTTGTAAAGTGCTGAATGTGTTGTAAAGTGCTGAATGTGTTGTAAAGTGCTGAATGTGTTGTAAAGTGCTGAATGTGTTGTAAAGTGCTGAATGTGTTGTAAAGTGCTGAATGTGTTGTAAAGTGCTGAATGTGTTGTAAAGTGCTGAATGTGTTGTAAAGTGCTGAATGTGTTCTAAAGTGCTGAATGTGTTGTAAAGTGCTAAATGTGTTGTAATGTGCTGTAACTGTTGTAAGATGTTGTAATGTATTGTATCTGTGGTAATGAATTGTTAGTGTGGTAATGTGTTGTATGGGGAGTAATCTGTTGTACTGGTCCAATGTAAGTCAATGGGAAAAAGTGCTTGAACTTTTGTTAATATCTGAAAAAGTGCTAAAGGTGGAAGTGTGAAAAGTAATAGCAATAATGAGACGGTGAAGCCGGTCGTAACGATGTATAATTTGTTGAATTTGGTGAAAGCGTTGAAGAGTTGAAAAGTGCCAAAATCTGGCGGAAGTGGAAGAAGAAGAAGAATAAACAGTAGGAGAGCATATAGTGGCTGCATAGTCTATGCAGCCACTCAACTAGAAATGGTACAATGGCTGAAGCCATTGTGAGTGGCTGCATAGATGTTGGAAGGGTTAGGGATGAAGAAGGAAGAAGGAAGAAGTTGAAAGAAATGAAAGATGTAGGAAGAAGAAGAAGAAAGAAAAGGGAAGAAGAGGAAAGAAGAAGAAGAAGGAAGAGGAGGAGGTAGAAGGAGGAGGGAGGAAGGGGAAGAAGGAGGAAGAGGGGAAGAAGAAGAAGGTGAAGAAGGGGAAGAAGAGGGAAAAAAGGGGTAGAAGGGGAAGAGGGGGAAGAAGGGGAAGAAGAGGAAGAAGAGGGAGAAGGGGAAGAAGAGGAAGAAGGGGAAGAAGTGAAGAAGATGAATTAAGAATGTGTTGTAAGGGGCTGAATGTGTTGTAAAGTGCTGAATGTGTTGTAAGGTGTTGAATTTGTTGTAAAGTGCTAAATGTGTTGTAAGGTGTTGAATTTGTTGTAAAGTGCTAAATGTGTTGTAAGGTGTTGAATGTGTTGTAAAGTGTTAAATGTGTTGTAAAGTGCTGAATGTGTTGTAAAGTGCTGAATGTGTTGTAAGGTGTTGAATGTGTTGTAAAGTGCTAAATGTGTTGTAAGGTGTTGAATTTGTTGTAAGGTGCTAAATGTGTTGTAAGGTGTTGAATGTGTTGTAAAGTGCTAAATGTGTTGTAAGGTGTTGAATTTGTTGTAAGGTGCTGAATGTGTTGTAAGGTGTTGAATTTGTTGTAAGGTCCTAAATGTGTTGTAAGGTGTTGAATGTGTTGTAAAGTGCTAAATGTGTTGTAAGGTGTTGAATTTGTTGTAAAGTGCTAAATGTGTTGTAAGGTGCTGTAAGTGTTGTAAGATGTTGTAATGTATTGTATCTGTGGTAATGAATTGTTAGTGTGGTAATGTGTTGTAAGGGGAGTAATCTGTTGTACTGGTCCAATGTAAGTCAATGGGAAAAAGTGCTTGAACTTTTGTTAATATCTGAAAAAGTTTTAAAGGTGGAAGTGTGAAAAGTAATAGCAATAATGAGACGGTGAAGCCGGTCGTAACGATGTATAATTTGTTGAATTTGGTGAAAGCGTTGAAGAGTTGAAAAGTGACAAAATCTGGCGGAAGTGGAAGAAGAAGAAGAAGAAGAAGAAGAAGAAGAACTAGAAATGGTACAATGGCTGAAGCCATTGTGAGTGGCTGCATAGATGTTGGAGGGGTTAGTGATGAAGAAGGAAGAGGAAGGGGAAGAAGAAGGAAGAAGAAAGAAAAGGGAAGAAGAGGAAAGAAGAAGAAGGACGAGGAGGAGGAAGAAGAAGAAGGGGAAGAAGGGGAAGAAGAAGAAGAAGGGGAAGAAGAGGAAGAAGGGGAAGAAGAGGAAGAAGGGGAAGAAGAGGAAGAAGAGGAAGAAGGGGAAGAAGAGGAAGAAGAGGAAGAAGGGGAAGAAGAGGAAGAAGTGAAGAAGATGAAGTAAGAAGAATGTGTTGTAAGGGGCTGAAAGTGTTGTAAAGTGCTGAATGTGTTGTAAAGTGCTGAATGTGTTGTAAAGTGCTGAATGTGTTGTAAAGTGCTGAATGTGTATTAAAGTGCTAAATGTGTTGTAAAGTGCTAAATGTGTTGTAAGGTGTTGAATTTGTTGTAAAGTGCTAAATGTGTTGTAAGGTATTGAATGTGTTGTAAAGTGCCAAATGTGTTGTAAGGTGTTGAATTTGTTGTAAAGTGCTAGATGTGTTGTAAGGTGTTGAATTTGTTGTAAAGTGCTAAATGTGTTGTAAGGTGTTGAATTTGTGTTAAAGTGCTAAATGTGTTGTAAGGTGTTGAATTTGTGTTAAAGTGCTAAATGTGTTGTAAGGTGTTGAATTTGTTGTAAAGTGCTAAATGTGTTGTAAGGTGTTGAATGTGTTGTAAAGTGCTAAATGTGTTGTAAGGTGTTGAATGTGTTGTAAAGTGCTAAATGTGTTGTAAGGTGCTGTAAGTGTTGTAAGATGTTGTAATGTATTGTATCTGTGGTAATGAATTGTTAGTGTGGTAATGTGTTGTATGGGAAGTAATCTGTTGTACTGGTCCAATGTAAGTCAATGGGAAAAAGTGCTTGAACTTTTGTTAATATCTGAAAAAGTGCTAAAGGTGGAAGTGTGAAAAGTAATAGCAATAATGAGACGGTGAAGCCGGTCGTAACGATGTATAATTTGTTGAATTTGGTGAAAGCGTTGAAGAGTTGAAAAGTGACAAAATCTGGCGGAAGTGGAAGAAGAAGAATAAACAGTAGGAGAGCATATAGTGGCTGCATAGTCTATGCAGCCACTCAATAAACAGTAGGAGAGCATATAGTGGCTGCATAGTCTATGCAGCCACTCAACTAGAAATGGTACAATGGCTGAAGCCATTGTGAGTGGCTGCATAGATGTTGGAAGGGTTAGGGATGAAGAAGGAAGAGGAAGGGGAAGAAGAAGGAAGAAGAAAGAAAAGGGAAGAAGAGGAAAGAAGAAGAAGGAAGAGGAGGAGGAGGAAGAAGAAGAAGGGGAAGAAGGGGAAGAAGAAGAAGAAGAAGAAGAGGAAGAAGGGGAAGAAGAGGAAGAAGGGGAAGAAGATGAAGTAAGAAGAATGTGTTGTAAGGGGCTAAAAGTGTTGTAAAGTGCTGAATGTGTTGTAAGGTGTTGAATTTGTTGTAAGGTAATGAATGTGTTGTAAGGTGTTGAATTTGTTGTAAAGTGCTATATGTGTTGTAAGGTGCTGTAATGTGTTGTAAGATGTTGTAATGTATGGTATCTGTGGTAATGAATTGTTAGTGTGGTAATGTGTTGTAAGAGGAAGAAGAGGAAGAAGGGGAAGAAGAGGAAGAAGAGAAAGAAGGGGAAGAAGAGGAAGAAGTGAAGAAGATGAAGTAAGAAGAATGTGTTGTAAGGGGCTGAAAGTGTTGTAAAGTGCTAAATGTGTTGTAAGGTGTTGTAAAGTGCTAAATGTGTTGTAAAGTGCTGAATGTGTTGTAAAGTGCTTAATGTGTTGTAAAGTGCTAAATGTGTTGTAAAGTGCTGAATGTGTTGTAAAGTGCTAAATGTGTTGTAAGGTGTTGTAAAGTGCTAAATGTGTTGTAAAGTGCTGAATGTGTTGTAAAGTGCTTAATGTGTTGTAAAGTGCTAAATGTGTTGTAAGGTTTTGAATTTGTTGTAAAGTGCTAAATTTGTTGTAAGGTGTTGAATTTGTGTTAAAGTGCTAAATGTGTTGTAAGGTGTTGAATTTGTGTTAAAGTGCTAAATGTGTTGTAAGGTGTTGAATTTGTTGTAAAGTGCTATGTGTTGTAATGAATGTGTTGTAAAGTGCTAAATGTGTTGTAAGGTGTTGAATGTGTTGTAAAGTGCTAAATGTGTTGTAAGGTGTTGAATTTGTTGTAAAGTGCTAAATGTGTTGTAAGGTGTTGAATTTGTTGTAAAGTGCTAAATGTGTTGTAAGGTGTTGAATTTGTTGTAAGGTGCTAAATATGTTGTAAGGTGTTGAATTTGTTGTAAGGTGCTAAATGTGTTGTAAGGTGCTATAAGTGTTGTAAGGTGTAGAATTTGTTGTAAAGTGCTAAATGTGTTGTAAGGTGTTGAATGTGTTGTAAAGTGCTAAATGTGTTGTAAGGTGTTGAATTTGTTGTAAGGTGCTGAATGTGTTGTAAGGTGTTGAATTTGTTGTAAGGTGCTAAATGTGTTGTAAGGTGTTGAATGTGTTGTAAAGTGCTAAATGTGTTGTAAGGTGTTGAATTTGTTGTAAAGTGCTAAATGTGTTGTAAGGTGTTGAATGTGTTGTAAAGTGCTAAATGTGTTGTAAGGTGTTGAATTTGTTGTAAAGTGCTAAATGTGTTGTAAGGTGTTGAATGTGTTGTAAAGTGCTAAATTAGCTTTGTAGTTTAATGGTTCAGACGACACGCGTTGTCGCTCTTTTATATATCTGATCTACAAATGCCGTTTGCCTGATTGCGTTTAATCTTTTAAATCACCAGTCCCAGAGATCGCGAGACACATCATTGAAAACTTTTTTGTCCAAGAATGACGGAAATGTATTGTTCGCAGCACTCAACTGCAACGGCTGGCCTTAATGAAGCTTGTTCCCCCCCCTAGGAGCACTGCGGTTCCAAGTGGAGAAGCGCGGTGCGAGGGTTCAGTTTAGCCAGGCCTTACCATCCGTACATTCCGATCAATAACATTTCCCTGCATGTAACGTCTGGGTATGTCTCCTGGGTTGCGATTACAATCACTGAATTTCCCAACCGACCACAGTGAGCACGGGAGGCGGGTGTTGTAGTTAGTTTTGGTTGACTTTAAGAGTGTTGCGTCGAACAGGCAGGTTGTAGCTTTTGGTAATGGCGAAAAAATGCGATAGTAAAATAATCCGGTCTGATTCTATCAGAAATTGAAGCCGGAGCAAGAGGAATGTTTAGCAAATGGAATTGCTTGGCGAAAGATAGTGGCCCTACTCCCCACGGGCGTCCGTTAGCGGGCATCAGGAGATGGTTAGGCAAAATGCTAATGCTAACGACTCCACATCGTACACTGGCGCATTTTTTTTTACATACGTGACAAAAACTCCAGATCCAATCGTTTCACTCGCAAAGGATTAACCCTGCCCCCAACGTTACCGGAGCTCAATGATCCCTCCAGACCGTATACGAAATAGTAATTTGTACTAAGCGTGTTACGGGGCCACTCCTACCAAGGATACCCCCACGTAACACAAGCCGTAGGTCATCCGTAGTCACAGGACGCCTCTCCCAAGAGCTCCTGACGTGGACTACCAGACCGACCAAACACACAAAAATGTACCGCACCTGTAGGATGCCTCTCCCAAGAGCTCCTGCACCAGGGCGGAAATAAACCGAAGGCCCCCTCAGGGGAGGGACCCAACGGTCTAACTCAGTCCGCTGCACTCAGCACGGAATGGGCCACCGACCGGTCCGACACATCCGAAAGATAAGACCGGACGAAAGAGGAGGACGACGCCCAAGAAGCCGCACGGCAGACGTCCTCGACCGACGCCCCCCTGAGAAGGGCCGTAGAGGCCGCCATCCCACGCGTGGAATGCGACCTGAAACCCACCGGGGGGGCCAGACCCTGCGATTGATACGCCCGCCGCACAGCCGTGGCGACCCAATGCGCCAGCCGCTGAGCCGACAGCGGGGCGCCCCTGTTCTTGGGGCCCAGACACACAAACAGCTGACCACCCAACCTGAATGACGACGTCATGGCCAGGTAATGCCTCAGCATTCTGACAGGACACAGAAGGTGCTGCCGCTCCTCCTCGGGGGAGGCATGCGGCGGCGGATGGAAAGCCCTAATCCTGATGACTCTCGACCTAAAGGCCGACGTGATGACCTTGGGGAGAAAAGCCGGATTGGGCCACAATTCCACCATGCCGTCGTCCTCTCCAAAGGACAGGCAAGACGCATGGACGGAGAGCGCACACAAATCGCCCGCCCTCTTAGCAGACGCCAACGCCAGCAAGAGGGCCGTCTTAAAGGCGATACACTCGGGACTCGCCTCCGCCGCCGGTTCAAAAGGCGGACCCGACAGCCCCCTAAGGACCACCCTGAGGTCCCAAATCGGAGGCGTTCTCTGGAGCGGGGGCCTCCTCCTGCGCGCCCCCCGCAGAAAACGTTTAACCAACGGATGAGAACGGGCTGTGAACCCCCCGAATCCGTCGTGACCCGAAGTAATGGCTGCCGCGAACACCGCCAAAGGTAGCGACAGCCCTCCCCTTGTCGAAGAGCTCCTGTAGGAATCCCAGGACCCCCTCCAGCGGGCAACACCTGGGATCCCAGGAACGGGAATCGCACCAGACACTGAATAGCCTCCACCTCGTGGCGTAGGCCCTCACAGTGGACGGCGCCCTCGCTCCCTGAATGGTCTCCACCACCGCAGGGGGAAGACCCAGGTCTACGAGGCTCCGCCTCTCAGCCTCCAAACCCGGAGCCTGCGGCCGATTATCGGGCGTGAAAAACAGGGCTCCTCCCCCCTGGACTAGAGCCCCCGGCTCGTCCGGGAGGGCCCAGGGCTCCATCACCGCCATGCCCCTCAGGAAGGGGAACCACCGGGCATGCGGACTGTCCGGAGCCACCAGGATCACCGACCTCCTCTCCTGTTCGATCCTCCGCAGCAGGACCGGCAGGAGACGCACCGGTGGGAAAGCGTACAGCAGGCCGCCTGGCTAGGGGTAATGAGCCAGAGCGTCCACGCCTAAGGGCGGCTCGTCCGCGGCCCTTAAGGCGAACCAGGACGGGCACTGTGCGTTCTCTGCACTGGCGAAAAGGTCGACCGCTGGACGGCCGAACCTCCGCCAGATCTCCGCAGCTACCCGCGGGGCCAGGCCCCACTCGTCCTGGAGCGGACCCCCCTGGACATCCTGTCGGCCCCCACGTTCCGGACCCCCGGGACGTGGCGCGCCCTGAGAGACAGGAGGTGAAGCGCCGCCCACAGCAGCGTCACTGTCGCCATGCGATGGAGAGCGGGGGACCTGGTGCCCCCCTGCCTGTTCAGATAGGAGACCACTGTGGTGTTGTCTGAGCGAACCATCACGTGTCTCCCCTGCAGCTGAGGAGCAAAGTGCAGCAGTACTCTGTGTACTGCCTCCATCTCCAGCAGGTTGATGTGACGGGTTGAGTCCGACCAGCAGCCTCCTACAGAGCTCTGGCCGAGGACCCCGCCCCATCCTTCGAGCGACGCGTCCGTGAACACCTCCACGTGAGACACGGCGCAGGCTAGAGTCACTCCGTCCCGCAATAGACCCGGAGTGAGCCAGAACCTGATGTCCGAAGCTGCCACTTGGGGAACCCAGATCAGCCTCCCCCCGTCCCGGGAGGGGTGAAGCCTGAGGCGCGAGAACCACCTCTGAAAATTTCTCATGTGGAGCAGGCCTAGCCGCACCACAGCATGAGCCGCCGCCATCATTCCCAGCAGGGACCTGAGGCGCCGAGCGGGGACTCTGGGGCCCGCCAGAACCTCCCGGGCCAGACGGGTAATATTCATCCGTCTGTCCACGGACAATGCAGCACGGAATGTCACAGAGTCTAGCTGCAGGCCGAGATAAATCATGCGTTGGGCTGGCTGCAGCTTGCTCTTCTCCCTGTTCACCACAAAGCCCAGACGCTGTATGTGGGACAGGACCCAGTGCGTGTGGCTCACGGCCACTTCTCTGGATGAGGCCAGAATTAACCAGTCGTCTATATAGGTTAATATTCTTACCCCCGCGCGTCTGAGCGGCTCCAGAGCTGCTTCCACACATTTGGAAAAAGTCCGAGGCGCGAGTGCGTACCCGAAGGGTAGACGGCAGTACTCGTAATTCCTCTCTCCCACTGCGAAGCGCAGAAACCTCCTGTGTTCTGGCACTATGGGCACGTGGAAGTACGCATCTGTCAGGTCTATGGATGTCATCCAGTCTCCCTCCCTGACACACTCGAGGAGCTGCCTTGTGGACAGCATCCGAAACTGCCGTTTGGAAATGCACTCGTTTAACACGCGCAGATCCAGAATGGGACGCACCCCGCCTGACTTCTTTGGCACTAAGAAGTAAGGGGAGTACAGCCCCTGGTGGCGTCCTGCGGGTCTACCTCCACTGCTGCGCCTCGACTCAGCAGAGAGGAGACCTCCGCTTGTAGTGCCTCTATCGATCCCCGTACCTGAGAGCGTACTGCCCGTACGCCTCGGAATGGTGGTGGCTTTCGGAAAAATTGCAGTGCGTAACCCCTGCGCAAAGTTTTCTCCAGCCAAATATCTGTCAGTAAGCCCTGCTCCCTCCAGATGCTGTAGAAGTCTGTGAGGGGCGGAACGGGAGCTGGAACACGAGACGTCACGGCCCCGCCCTCTCCTGGTGTTCCTAGCAGGGAGGGGGGGTGGCTGAAA